AAAAAAAAAAAAAAGAAAAAAAAGAAAGAAAGAAAAACAAAGAAACTGAGAACAAGAGGAAAGGAAAAAATTATTCAGAAAGAGGAAACACGAGAAGTATAAAGTGTAAGTGAAGCACGTAGACGGAAATGCGGATAGGAGAGGGGTGGTGAATCGAAGCAGAAAGGCAGAGAAGTAACTGTACGTATTGTGCGTGTAATGTACCTTTTAAATGTAAAGTAGATACCGAGTATAATAGTGTAAGTAGACAGGAAGAAAAAAAAAAACAGAAAGAAAAAGAACAGAGACGCGACAATTGTTCATATTAACTATAGAGGCGTATACACACATTTACACACGTGTAATTGTATTAAGGCGTAAAGAAGGAGAAAAGGAGGCGGGGGGAGGGGGGGAGGGGGGGAGAGAAGCCCGGCGTTTTAGATTAAACTCGTGGGAAGAACGTTGTAACTTCAGTGAAAAGAATCCGAATAATACGTCGTTATCGGCGTATGTATATGTATATATACACATACAACACGCAGATAATTTCTCGCAATATAGGGGCTATCGCAGTTACTATCGCTAATTATTACTATTATTATTATTACTACTACCGGTCACCGATTACTACTACGGAATATTACGAATTACCGCTATTACTATTTACTATTTGCCACTACCACTACTATTACTACCACCAATTACAACTACTATTATTACTACTACTACTGTCACGACTATCCGCTTTTTTAATTGTACGATATATACATAATACCGAACTATGAATGTACATTTTCTTAGCTGTAACGTTTCCTCCTCCTCCACATTGTAATTTATATATTATATTCGAGGAATACATTACTTCTAAATGTGTTAAAAAGAAAGGAAAAGGAAAAAAAGAAACAAAAACCGCTGCTGCTTTACGAAGAAGAAGGAATTCTATGTGAAAAAGAACAAAATATATTATATATAAATATATATAAATATATAAATATATATGTATATACACGTACATATATATATATATTTTATTTCAGAAGTTTAGTTTAATGGATATATAATGTTGAAAAAAAAAGAGAAAAAAAAAATACGCGAGGAAGAATACAAATTAAAAATTTTCTCTGTGATTCGTCTAAAGGATGGAACTATGGAAGTAAGCGTAATAAAAAAAAAAAAAAGAAAAAAACAAGAAAGAGTTATGATTATATTGATTAATTAGTATTATTAATTGTCATCGTCATTTATCATTGCTCTGTACCGACAACGTTTATCGAACAACCAAGTCACAACGGACCGACACAAACTCGATTTTCGTAAATGAACTCGACTCGTGATTTTCTTTTCGCTAATAAACAGTAACGAGTTATCCTATCGATGTAATAAAAACAAGTATTTTTACCGATCTCTGCGCATTTCTCGATTTCTTTACGACCCACTCTCCCCGTGAACGAGACATAGAAATAGTTGGAATTCAAAGTTTTTATTTACTTAGGATACAAAAGAATGACTAATTTATCGTAGGCAATGAAATCTTTCATTTGCATTTTACCATACTACGGCTAATATAGATTGTTGTAAAAAGTATTGTGATTTAATTTTGAGACAAGTGCGGGATTCGTTTCCAAGATTTTTCAGAACAAAGGTGTAGGCTATATTTAAGTCTAAAATTACAAAAAAAAGGAGTGGCATTCGAGGGGAAAGATTTGGTGATTTTGACACGAACTTAAAATTGGTAAAACGTTTATTAACTATTTAAAAACGATGAAACAAGGTGAACATGAGATTGACAATTCAATAAGTAATATTATTAAATAGACTATAGAGATGTATAATAAGTGTCTGTAGTAATTATTCTCTTTATACGTTTCCTTTACATCGAGACAGACGTCTTTTTCATCTTAATATTCTCC